CACTTTGTGTTGGTCTTTCACGTGGAATTCCAATAAAATTGATTCATGTTTGTGGCTGTAATGTGACAAAATGTGGAAAAGTTCAAGGGGGCCGAATACTTTTGCAAGCCACTGTATGTGCTTGTTTCTGACCAAACTGTCTCCAGACTCCACGCGGGCCTAACATCCTTTCAGTGGGATCTGTGCTCACCGCTCAGCAGCACAAAGCTCGATTAGCACTCGCCTAAATGAAAGAGAACGCTGTGGTGAACATCTTGCAGCCTAAACATCATTTAGCATGGCCGCCTTAGTTAGTAGTGGCGTGGGTGGGGGGCATATATTTGGTGACCAGCACTCTTACCACATAATTACTTTCAGGTCACTTCACTCACTTGGGAAACTTCCTAACAAAAGCTGACTGTTTGAGCCTTTGGAAAGGATGGAGTAGTAAGAACTGGAGGAAGATGTGAAATGTGTACATCTCTAACTGACTATAAAAGTTCAGTTTGTTCTGTTTCATCCAATCACAGGGAATTATTATGGGACGCCCCGCCCCGTCCACATTGGCCCAGAGAGTCCACCAATCACATACCAGGAACATCGAAACCTGCTGAGGAACTTCAGGACAAGGAGCAAGTCTCTGAGTAACCTGGAGAAAGCTGTGGAGGAAGGGGACAACAGTGAGGAGGACAGCGGGCTGACGGGTAGAGAAGCTCACATGTAACACATCCCAGTCTTACCTGCACAGGTGTGTTTGCGCGTTGACGAGATTCTCTACCAGCAGGATCAGCTGGAGCCCCGCCCACAACCCTGCCTCTCAGCCAGTCATGGGAGTCCGCGGTAGGAATGGAGAATGGAGGAGGGGGAAGAGGAGTAGGGAGGGGAAGAGCGGGAGTGGGAGGTCCGCTGCCGGAAAACTGGGAGCTGGCCTACAGTGATTCAGGGGAGCCGTATTACATCGAGTGAGAAATACTTATCAGTTCTTCTTCTGGTGTCAGCTGATTTAATCCGTTTGATTATGGCCATCAGAAAAATATGTTGAGGAAAGCCATGGACGCTGTAATGCTGTTTAAACTTTAAATTTATCTTTTTTCCAATGAAGTCTGGTACATACAAAATATTTGATCCTTTAAATGTCTTATTCTGTGAACCAGTCCTGCTTGTTTTTGTTGTGTGAGTCAGTTTTTTTTTTTTTTTTCTTGCAAACTGAGACATGAGACCCACAAACAGGAAACTGAGCTGAGTTGCTGAATGTTTCCTGTCTTTGCAAAAATAATAATTTCCAGTAGCAGGCAGAAAAAGCACTACATTTTAACTTATCCTCAATCTGTCAGATTATATTGTCCAGTGTGTTGATGATGATGATGATGGTGGTGGTGGTGGTGGTGGTAATTAGGATGTGTGTGTTCCTCTGTCCATCAGCCATAATTCAAAGACGACCAGCTGGCTGGATCCTCGAACTCAGAACAAAGAGACGACGTCTTCTACAGAACGTAAGGCGGTTTTAGATCATTCATTCACATGCAATTCATCTTGTTTTGTTCATGATTATGTCACATAATTGCTTCTCTGAAGGACATTTAAAAATATTACAGTCATACCCTCAAATGGTTATATGTTATTTTTAAATTCTAGTTAAATGCTTTTTATTTGAGGTGGTATTTGTGTTGAAACTTCCCGTTTCCACACAAACTGCCTTGGATGCTTTCATTCTGGCAGCAGCAGCCAGCAGAGGGCAGCACTGACCCACAAACTCCACTTTTTTTGTTTTTATTGTCACACCAATCAGAAAGAAAAAAGAACAATATAGATGCATGCCCATCCTCTGTGAGTTTTACACGGAAAGAAAGAGTCCACGTCCTCCCTTCCTGCACATGAACCTCTGGAGTTATACAAGCATTCTTCGAGGATAGGACTAACGTTTCCTCTTTCCCTTCTCTTCATCGTTTTTCCTCCTTTGCCTGCCTCCTTTCTTTGTCCCCCATGTCTTCTCTCGCCTCTCAGTCCCAGAGTTCACCGACCAGCCCAGTCAGCTGAAGGGCTACTCCATCCACACTCGGCTCTCTAAAGGTCCTCGAGGTTTCGGCTTCAACATAGTTGGAGGAAGTCGACCCCGAGAGTTTCTGCAGGTGTACAGCGTCACACCTGGAGGACCGCCTGCTCTCAACACAGGTACTGATCACAGTACAGTTTACCTTCAGTTATGTCACAAACCTGAATCTGTTACATGGTTTTGGATCCAGGTTTCTGAAATCCAGGTAAAATGTGTTCAAATGTAAAAGCAGGACGTTTCAAAACTCAAATCACAATCTGGACTCATAATCACATAAAAACTATCATAAAGTGGGAGTTGTTGTCGTGGGTGAGGTGGTCAGAGGAGAGAGGTTGAGATTCTCTCTCTGTGGAGGATTACGGTGCTGTTGATTAAGAAAAATAAAGAGCTGAGTACTAATCTCATGATCTACAACTAATCCACACACGTGCGCTCTCACACACAGTTTAATCTGACCCACGTACCCACGCCTCCTCCCTGTGGGTTGGTTCACATGCTCTGAGATCAGCGTGGAATCAGGAATGAAACAGAGCTACGGAAAAAACAAGCTTAAGACCTGTTCACGTGTTGTGGTTTTCATTTTAAATAGATGAAACTTTGTCACCCAGAATGAGAAGACACAAAACATTAAATCTCATTTACACTTGTAGTCCTCTCGGTTCACACCTGGATTTTGTACCTGTGCCTGTTCACCTTACTGCTCACTGAAAGGCGAGAGAACGTAAAACATCAATATTCTCACTCAAATGATGGATTATGCTTGTTTGTGTGACA